TCTAGAAATTAATTTTGTCCTCATGTAATACCATTTGTATTCAAAGTTGATTTATAATATCGAAATGTGTTACTTTTTTTTATTTAACCAAATTTGTATGCATTGCACAAGTGCAAGAACAAAATTAAACAGAATTAGTTTCTTATTTTACAAAGAAAAAGTTTTTAATTGTAAATCTTTTATAAAAATAAAAATAATTCAATTAAGTTAAGATTTCTTAAGAGTTAACAATATTATATTAATTTATAAATAGCCCAAGGAAAGGAATAACAATTAATTATTGAATATAATTTTAAGTCATTTATTCAATGCTTCTTTCTAAAGTAAGTAATGTTAATTTATATAATTTGTGTATTGATATAACACAATTTATCTAATCATTTTAATTCTATATTTAAATTTAATAATGTCATTTTATTTGTTACGCAACTAAAACTTAAAGTGGGTTATGTAACACAAAATACATAAAAAGTACTTTATATGCAGGTGCAATATTTATTTAGTAGTTGTTTCACTAATTATAACTGTTTAGGGAATATATGCATCCTTGGCGATTAATTAAATTGACTAAAATAAAGATGTTTTAGCGCAAGGTGACATTCTTAAAATGACATTTAATTTAGTTATTTATGTTAATTATAATTAAAGGGGCAGTGCAAAACTTAAAAAAATATAAATATGTGAGACGCTCGATTTATGGATTATAATCCATAATAATTATGATTGTTATTGTTATTGAATAATTAACAAAATAATTTTCCTTGAATACTTTTAATGAAACAATGCTTTAAATATTTTCCGTTTGTGCTAAAATCAGCTTTAATAGTGGTAAAAATGTAGAATATAACGTAAATTTTTAATATATTTTATTTTTTGAATTGCAAACAAACTTCAACTGTCAAAAGTGCAGATTTCTGTAACTAACTAAAAATATAAATTACAGAAACCTGGATATTACTAAAAACTTTATTTACCACGGCCTTTAGTAGGCCTTTAGTAGGCTTCTGAAGAAGAAATAAAGATAATTTCACGACAAATATTTGCAGTTTGGTACTCATCAATATGAATGTATATTTTATTAAAACTTAAAATTGAATTTTAATTTTGTAGATTTTAAAATATGAAAATTTTGAAAATTTGGAAATACATTGTTTAGTTTGAGTAGTTCAAAATTTATTAACACTGTTCCCATGATTTTTGGTACTTAACTTACATTGGCAATTATACCGCCTTAAGAAAACATGTTCAACTAAAATGGTTATCATAAATATTAATCTATTTTGATGCTACTAAGAGTTCTTAGACGCATCGTTCTCAGTGCTACCAAGATCTTAGAAAAATAGATATGAGGTTTTTTTTATTTCAGACTGTTGGCAACCTTTTTAATTTTTATGTAATCGATGTGTCTTTCTGGTTTTGTTTATCAAAATTATATTATAAAATGCGAATAAAATTGTTATAAGTAAATGTAAACTGTGTCTTGCTCTAAGAAGCATCGAAATACACAACCACAATCCACACACCAAAATCCACACAACAAGGTCTATTCGATCTCGTAGTAAAAATACTAAAAATCACTGCAACACTGCACATCATACGATGGCGGCCATTTTTGTTGTTTACAATTCTTGTGCTTTGGGTTTGTACAGATTAATAACACAGCCACACAATTTTTTTTTTTGTTTTGATCTGGGGGTCTGACCATATTTCTTTTATGTTTTTGGGGTCGCTGAATCCGAATCCAAGGTCTATTTAACCCCATCACATCAGGATTTTGACATAACCTCAAAAAATCTATAATTTAAGCTATTAAACGCATATAACCCTAAACATTAAGTTGTTGTCTAAAAACCCAAGCTCCTAAACCCTATAAGCCTAAAACTCACTTAACTCCATAACCCCATGACCCACTTAACCCCATCATCTATTTAAACATATAATCCTTAGGATGAAATTGTGATCTGAAAACCCAAGCTATTAAACCCAATAACCATTTTAACCCCATCCCATAAACCACTTAAACCCATATCCTTGTAACCCATTTAACCCCATCAACATCAATTCCAACAGTTCCATATCTCAGACATTTAGCTTTGAAGAGACTAAAGTTATGCGGTTATTAAAATAACGTACATATTAAGTTAAATATCTGACAAACGTGGTTGATGTACATTGAGTTATGAGGTTAAATGGGTTATGGGGTTATGGAGTTATGTGAGTTATGAAGTTGTGATATTTAAGAGCTTGGATTTTTATATGAAAACCACATTCTCAGGGTTATATATAGTAATAGCTTATATGATGGGTTTTTTAAGGTTATGGCAAAATCCTGATGTGATGGGGTTAAATAGACCTCGGATTCGGATTCAGCGACCCCAAAAATATATAGAAAATATGGTCAGGCCCCCAGATCAAAACACAATTTTTTTTTGTGTTTTGATCTGGGGGTCTGACCATATTTCTTTTATGTTTTTGGGGTCGCTGAATCCGAATCCAAGGTCTATTTAATCCCATCACATCAGGATTTTGACATAACATCAAAAAATCTATAATTTAAGCTATTAAACGCGTATAACCCTAAATATTAAGTTGTTGTCTAAAAACCCAAGCTCCTAAACAATATAAGCCTAAAACTCACTTAACCCCATAACCCCATGACCCACTTAACCCCATCATCTATTTAAACATATAATCCTTAGGATGAAATTGTGATCTGAAAACCCAAGCTATTAAACCCAATAACCATTTTAACCCCATCCCATAAACCACTTAATCCCATAACCTTGTAACCCATTTAACCCCATCAACATCAATTCCAACAGTTACATATGTCAGACATTTAGCTTTGAAGAGACTAAAGTTATGCGGTTATTAAAATAACGTACATATTAAGTTAAATATCTGACAAACGTGGTTGATGTACATTGAGTTATGAGGTTAAATGGGTTATGGGGTTATGGAGTTATGTGAGTTATAAATTTGTGATATTTAAGAGCTTGGATTTTTATATTAAAACCACATTCTCAGGGTTATATATAGTAATAGCTTATATGATGGGTTTTTTAAGGTTATGGCAAAATCCTGATGTGATGGGGTTAAATAGACCTCGGATTCGGATTCAGCGACCCCAAAAATATATAGAAAATATGGTCAGGCCCCCAGATCAGAACACAATTTTTTTTTTGTGTGGCTGTGTAATCGTTTTAAACGTTTTGTTTCTTACAGAGAGATTTGCAAGCCTTAAAAGAGACCTCAAAGTGGTAAGAACAATCATTTTACTCCTCTTTTGTAAAAAATAAACCGCCCACCCAACCAATCCCTTGTCTATGGCGGCAATCGTATGATGTGCAGTGTTGCAGTGATTTTTAGTATTTTTACTACGAGATCGAACAGACCTTGTTGTGTTGATTGTGCCACACACAATGTTGTTAGCAATTCTTGGGCTTTGGGTTTGTGCTGTTTATATATACAAAATAAAAATGTTAAACATTTTGTTTAATAAAGAGGCACTTGTAAGCCTAAAATGAGGCCTTAACGTGCTAAGGACAACCATTTTACTCCTCTCTTGTAAAAAATAAACCTTATTCTATCAGGGCTAATCATAACCCACAAATTTACAATAACCACAAATTAACCTTAAAATTGACATTTGACAGTTTTATGACAGATCTGATGGAATAAGGTTGATTTTTTTTATAAAAGAGAATTAAAATGGTTGCTCTTAGCACTTTAAGGCCTCTATTAAGAGGTACAAGTGCATATGTAAGAAACACAACGTTTAAAACAGTTATTAATCTGTATAAACAGCACAAACCCGAAGCACAAGAATTTTAAACAACATAACAATGGCCGCCTCAGAGTATATGCAGTGGGTTGCCCAACTTCGTGATTTTTAGTTTGCGCTAAACGAGATAGACTTTGATGTTTTATTTTGACTGACATTAAATATATAATTTTGACATTTCGCTTTACGTCATTTGTGCCAACCTAGTAAAATGAATTAAACTCCTTGTTTTTTTTTAAGATATATTTAATTTTATTTATAAATTTTGGTCCAAATAAAAAACTTGTTCTACAATGTAATAATAAAACAAACTTTTATTTTAGAAGGTTATTCCTTTCCAATATACTTCTTCCTTGTAGACTAAACTACATTTCAATACATGTGATAACAACCTATTAATTACAATAGAAAGTATTAGATTATCTGCACTAAAAGTCGTGACAAAGATTTGTTATTATTTTAATAATTTTTATTAATAAATTATAACACAAAATTAATGAAGCATTGAAAATTAAAACGTGCTACAGGTAATAATAAACATTAAAATAGATTTGTATCAATTGCAGTCATCAGGAGCATCTTGTTTGTTAATTTAGTGTTTATTTGAATTGTTTATTTGCACGATTTGGGTCAAATAATAAAATAAAAGTAAAATCGGTTTTTATGGAGTACTATTAAAAACATATTATTCTAGTAAATCATAAAATGGGCATAAAATCATAAAATTTCTCAATTAATGTATAAAAAGTTAGAAAGGCTCTTAAAACTAAAAAATAATTAGAAAATAGGAATATGATAAAATTACATGAAAAATTTATAGAAATTGTTACAAAAATGATTTCAGAGGCACTGGCACTCGTATATGGGTGATTTCAGTAATTGAGTAAAATTAACGGTTACCCTATAATAATTTAGAAGTCTATTGCAAATATATCCCATGAATCATTTAATCAATTATCGAATCAAACATAACATTTTTTTTAACCTTTTGACGATACAGTCCATGTCAAAAAATATAATTCCATAGGTAGGTACATAAATTAAACGCAAATTTGTTAATTAACACCGACGAAAAAAATTCCAATAACAAAAATTTTGTCATTCAATCATTCACATCAGTTTCATTCCTTTCCCTTTCTTCGTTCGGGAGGGGTCGATCGAAGCAGGCGATCGAGCCAATGCGATTTAATGTCTTGGGCAAATATCCATAAGCATACAAAGACAACACGTCTCATTCCACGCTTAGCCGACTTAACCAGATGACGCAGTGTTTATGTAATTAAGATTTCGATAGTTGTTCGAATAGAAATTTTTCGGCGGTTCGGTTGGTACCTGCCAAATGTAACTGAGACTTTCAAATAATTAATATTTTTGTGTTGTTTCGGGTAAGAGTTTGCGTGATGTAAATTTTGACGGGGAAAATTTTAGTTTGTGATTTTACAGTACGATACAAGTGATTTTGGATTACGTTTATTTTCATTGAGAATTTTAAATAAAACATAAGGTATTGTACTTTTTTATTTAAATTATTGTTAAGACGTACTGTCAGGCCACTGTTGTCTACATAGGGAAAACTTGTTTATTATTAAATTTACGAAAAAAAGTATTCTTTATAAAACAATTTTTTTCCTAATAAAATAATAATATATGTTATATATGTCATTAAAAAGGAAACGTTATTCATGGCCCAAAAGAGAAGTATGAATATATGAAAATATTGATTAAAATTAAAAGTTATTCATATCTTAGGTTTAATTCATTGCCTCCTATGAAATAAATCTTGATATTTTTAGAACAACTAATAAATTTGAAATTACATTAATACTTATGTTATTTTAAGAATTTTTTAATATGAGGCAATACATTTAATTTAATTCTAAGAAACATTTCCATATTTTATAATTTTAATATAAATTAAGGGTTCTCTTTTAAGCCAATTATAATATTTCCTACCTATAAATACTCAGTACATGTTATTCCAAATTTTAATAGTCTGATATTATGTTTTAAGGAAGCAGAACTTTATGATTTTTTGTAAAATTAATAATAAAAAACTTTTCCATAAGTAGACAACTTGGGAAAACACACTGTATATTTGTATTTTATAAGCCAAGTTAAAAATAATCACTTAAAATAAAATCAAATAAAAAAATATAGTATAGACAATTTCACTCCTATCAATTTTAACCTATTGAATTGGTGACGGAATAAAAGAAAGGAACAGAAATGTAGCTGACCAAAATTAATTGATAGAATTTAATAGTATAACGAATTATATAAATTTATATTATCAGAATTTTGTAAAATGGGTTACCTTGAAATTCGCTTTATTTTAATACTTTTTACAGACCGTTTCTTACTTCTCTGTTGCGTCTACGTTATGTCTACGTTCAACTATAAAGCAGGCTTAAGGCGTTTACAAATAAAGTTAAAATAAATTAAAATGTCAGAAACACTAAGAAAATTGGATGTTTACTTTGGGCTCAGTTTAGTGAATTCTGCAAGGAAGTTCGATTTAAATTCTGAAAATTTAGCAAACATATTAATGGATTAGGACTACAATATAAAAAATAAAAATGAAGACGACTAAAAATAATATGTTTTTTAAACGATGTGGAATTTAACCGCTAAAATGATGTTTTTTATAAATATTTTAATTTTAAATAAATATTTAATTTTGATCTAAAAATTATTTAATTTATTTACTCGTGGAATTTTTTCAACAAATACCACTCCAGGTTTGATTTAGCAGGATATATTTTGCACTTTTAACTTGGTTGTTTATTAATTTTTCGTCAAATTACAAGTTCTTATGTAAAATTTCTGGCTAAATAAAACCTTTCATGTTATTAAATTCGGTGTAATAACTTTTTGTGTTCTTTTTTTATAAAAATAGACCATTAAAAGTAAAGTTTCGCTGCCTAACTCACTGTTGGAGTCTCTGAGAAATTTAATATTCTCTTTTAAAAATGCCTTGATCTCACAAAGTTTTGAGTGCAGCTACCCTGTAAGCTGCCTTAAATGCCTTTTCTGCAATATTTAATATTGTGGCCTACAATTTGTAAAAAAATAATTTTCGCTTAACAGTGCAGCTGCACTTAAAACCTTGTTATAGTTACTTTTTTACCATTACTTTTTGATAAAAATATATGGAATTATTATTGAGATTACACTTAATTAAATTTTAACAATCAAAAATTCAGCAAACTAACAAAAATGTCGAAATGTTGACAAAAATGAAAACGGATTTATTTTTTTACTCTAAAATAAAAATTCCTTTAATTATTTCCTTAATCAAAATTTAGTTAAAATCCCAGATCTTAATTTTAATTTAATATAATAATAATAGTTATAACTTATAATACGAAAAGTTGTTTCCAAGGTAATTTTGGGCGCTGAATCTGAATATTCACTGGATTTTTTAGGATTGGTTCTAGTTTTTGATACTTTTTGATACTGATAAGGTGGTCAATAAATTATATTATCTCCACGCGGTCTATAATTTAAACTTTATTGTTGTCAACATTCGATAAAAAAATACCTTGTTATGGCCTAGGCCGATAAAAAATTTTATGAGGCAAGTAATTAGTTCGATTTTTTCTCGCTAGGGGTATTGTTTTGACAAATTAATCCTTTTCCAAGAAATTAACGTACTAAACTGGTTTAATTTATTTATAATAAGCACTAATTTGTTTGTTTTACTCTTAATGTTTAATATTTTTCATTAAATTTTTGTAAAATTAAATATGAATAATAAAACAAAAAGTGAGGTTAGGCAACCAAGAAAACGCACGATTCTTTTTCTACGATTTAAATTATCTTTAAGTTTTTATTTGCTTTAAGTTTTCAGTGAAATTAAATGTTAAACACAGCTTAAACATTCCAAACTACCTATTTTTTAAATAAAAATCCAAACAAATTGAAATTAGATACCTACCTATTTATTAAACAATTAATTGAATTCAATGTAATAGCAAAAATCCATTTCTACTTAAATCATGTAGCTAGGTATTGTCAAACTATTACTGCTTTTAAAATCAATAATAATTATTGTACATTTAATGTAATCTTTAGCTAATAAATAAATAAGATTCTAAAAAAGTGTGGTTAGGCCGCTTTGATGTTGAATTAAATTGACCTATATAAAGTGCTTTGAAGATAAAATGTTGTATGCCATTCGGCCAAGAAGTGCCTTTTTGTGCTTCGCTCAATTGTAGGCCTCCGCTACGCGTCGGCCTTCAAACCTTGAGCTTAGCACAAAAAGCCTTACTTCTTAACCTAATGACATAAATAACTATTTTGTACGATTTTTGACAATTAATGGCCATTGTATTCAATTAAACCTCATAAGTCAGATATGAAGAGAGGTGGAACTAAGTAGTTTGTATTGTTTAAAATCTGTTTCATGCATTAGAGTCCAACAGTAGCTGTTCATCATGCCTCATTATCTCAAAATCCTTGGTATCGTCTCTTGATGTTCGCTAGATCTTGGTGTATACACCAAGATCTAGCTGCTTCCTTGCTTATTGATTGTATACTATACAATGTATAGCCCAAGTTTTTAGTGAAAAATCTAGATAAGAATGCAAAAAATGCATCTAAGGAGACATCTTGCGGTAAATTTGCAATAAATTGGCGATGATTTACTTAAAATCCGGAGATTTGTGTTTACCGAGAAAGTGATAAATGATACTCATGCCGCTTCTTTGGGCGTTAAATATTTTGTAAAGTTTCCGTCGAGAATTTATTTTAGAATATCAGGTCCAACAAATATTTCTTTTTAGATTTTTGCTTATGTCAATTTTGGATTATAATCGTTCTAATCTGTTTAGCCAACTGTAATTTTTTTTTAATGTTATAATTCTATGAAAAAGTTATTTAACCTTCAAATTTCGATTTCACAAATTCTTAAAACGTTCCATTTTAGTTCAATTATTTCATTAATTTTAAATCTATTAATAATTATTATCAGGCAATTTTAACCCTAAAGATTTAATTCTTAACCTTGACGTTTGAGTAATTTATAGTATAAAAGTAATTTTGCTTTAACTACTTTATTAAACATTTTATTGTAAAGAATTCAAATAATTTTTCCATTAATATTTTAAAGTGATTGTAGTTTTACCTTGAGATTTCGTATTTTATTTGGAAATTATTTTTGTTTGGTTTTATCCATTAGTTTAAAGAGTCTTTTTTTAAGATATTTTCCAATTTATGACACAAAGTTTTTTAGTATTAGTAGTATTAGCAAATTGTAAGTAAAATATTGACTAAAAATATAATTTTATATGTAAATTAACTTATTTAATACCAACTATTAAAATATTGTTAACATAAATAAATGTGCATAAAATATTAGTTTTACAAATTTTATATCACTAATAAAAATTACAGGCTTGATTTTATTTCCCATTCTTAATTTATTGGTTTTAAATGTCAAGTAACTTTTAAATAACCCTGTAGTTCATATTAAACATTTTCACGCCCACAAGGGCTTTTCCTATGGCTAAAACTGTCTATCATGTATTTTATTGTAATTATGATTCTATTTGATTTTTTATTTATATATACCTTAGGGCTACTTACTTTAAAACATACTTTATACCCATTATTGATTGATGTTATCATATCTTTAGACAAAGGTGAATGTTGATATATCTATATATTTTTAGACATTGTTATATTTTATGCTACGACCATAAATTTGCAAAATAAGAAAGTTAACATTGTTTTAAGTGTATTATCTTGCTACACTTTTAATATGTATAACGTTTGAATAAACGTGAATTAATATTTTCAATTAATAAATGAAATAATTAATTAATCATGCATTATGCATAAATTAGTGACGAAATACTTTGTGAAGCTTATTAAAACTAATATATGGGATCGTTTATTTACTACAATTAAGTATTTATATGTATATGTCACACTCAAAGTATACATTTCAGTATATGTACGAGTATAAAAAACTAGCTAGTGTATATATTCACGTAAAAAATTAGTAAAAGTGTACTTTTACTAGTAAATGTGTATTTATTGGGGAATACGTACATTTACTACAAGCATCAAGTAAAAGTATGGAATAAATGGATAACGTTTATCGAAAAGGAACCAAGCGCCAAAAACTTTTTCTGGGGTAAACAAAATTATTTGCAAAATAACTCATTTTTAATGCTGCTCAAAAAATTAATAATTATTTGGGAACCGTCTCAATCCTTTTTAGAAAAGTTACAAATGATGATAAACCTTTTGAGCATTATTAAAAATGAGTTATTTTACAAATAATTTTACCAAGCCAAGAAAAGTTTTTGGCGCGTTCGATAAGCGTTATCCAAATGTAAATAGCTCTATTTTACCTAGTAAATGCGTAAGTTTACTGTTGGTTTTGTGGGCGAGGTTGGTTAATTTTAGTTTATGTACACTTTTGCTACCTTTGTGGCGTCAATGTATACATCTACTAGTAAGTAAGTAAGCTAATGCGCTTCTGAATACATAATAAAATCAGTTATTGCATACATTAGCTAGTTTATACATTTACGGAATTTACACATTGCATGTAATATATACACACCATTGGATTACACTTTAAAAACCAAATGAGAAGGTTGGATTACTGATGTCGTTTTTTTTCACTAACATTGCTCCACCAATTCCTTAGATGCTGGGGCATAACTAAATATATACAGACTTAAATGTAGTTAATTTTCAAGATCTAAATACAAACATTGTACCACTTGAATCCTTAAGGTTTTCCTTCACCTTAGCCATCAGCTGTCAGTATACTCTCTAAAAAATAAATAAATAAATCAAAAATTTCTCTTATAACTCCTAATACAAATTTAAAAAACATGTAGCACTTTCTTATGGACATTTTGTCTTTTTTCCCTTCCTTCACATTACCTTTGGAAGAAACTTTTGCGAAGATTGACATATTGGGGTGTAGAGATCCTGGAATACAACATCCAGGAACATAGTTCCCATATACAAGCATATGGTCACATGGACTAGCTTCCAAGCACCAAGGTTGAAAATACCGAAATCAGAAGAAGAAGAAGAAGAAGAAGAAGTCTTTTTTCCCCTGCTATATAAAAGCATTTTAGGCGACTGGTGGTTTCAAAAGTCCGTGCTGAAAAGAACACTTCTCACTATATCAAAGTTTCTGTTTTTTCCTCGAATGGGAAGGACAAAACGTAGAACTTGACCTGACCCTTGCTCGGGCCAAAGCCCAGCACTCACATTTCCATCTATCTGTTAAAATCCCACCTCTTAATTTTAATTTTAAGGCGTTCTTTCTCGGTAGTTTTAAATTAAAAATATCAAACTTCAGTTTCTAATAAGGAACATAATAAACCATTTACCCATGCATTCATTTTTAAATTTAAACATTCTCTTTAAATTACCGTAAAGAATTTTAAATATTTTAAGTTTCAAATTATTTATGATCGTCATTATTAGGCCAATATTAAAACGATTAAAGTTTATTACCTTAGGGAAAAAAGGTGAAATACAATATGTTATTAGTAAAAAATAACTAAAAGTAAGTGTATAAAGTAGCATATCTTTCTTTAGTAAAGGGCCTATAATAAATTTTTGAGCGATTATAATCAACTAATTTATTGTAGATTTGATGTGTGTTGTTTTGGATTGTCGTAATATTTGATTTATTTATTTAGAAACGTTTAAACTATGGGTCTCTAATCGTTCTCTTATTTATCGGGCCAAAAATGTATGTGGTACACAAAAGGACTAATAACATTCATTTCCCAAACACAAAATAAAGAGCTACTGGTTAATCTCCAAGGGTCACTCCCACAATTCTATATGAAAGAATTATTTCGGATAAAATTAGAAGAATGGCAAGGCCTCTTGGAATAAAAACGGTTTTCACCTCCAAAAACACTTAGACTGGCAAAAACAAAACCGACATAGGACAATGAAACCCAAAAACATAATTTATTAGGTTCCTTCCGAATGTGGACAAGAGTATGTAGGACATAAAACCCAAATAAAATGAAAAACTGCAAAGTCTGGCTAGAAGAGCATGCATGGAAAGATGATCACAACATTCAATGGACAAATAAATAAACATTTTAAGCAACCTTAGTGTAGACATCAAACCGGTGTGGAAACCATTGTTGCGTATGAGTAAACAGTTCCGGCTCAATAAGCAGAAGCTCCGAAATATTTTACCATTATCAGCTGAGGACGAGTAGACGAGTAGAAACCTAATAAAATTAATAAATCAAAGATGACTAATTGATATAATTTGGCTAAAAAGAAAGTTGATAAATTAATAAGGTATTTCAAATACTATTTTTTGGCTGCATATAAACTTTGTAGTATTAAATTGTGCAATGTTTTGCCTTACATCTAAGGATTATCTGTATCGAGATAAATGGTTTAAGATAAACCTTAACGTCTACCGTTATTCCAATTCAACAAAAAATTCTGTTTTTTTATTCAGTAATCTGTAGAAATATTATCTCAATGTAATTGCTTAATAGTTGCAATCGAATCTTGAATTAAATCTTCTTCTATATCCATGGTTATGTCATTATAGCATCACGATTTTCTGATGATGTTTGCGTTTACGCCTACCAACAACTTTATTGAATAACAATAGCTTAGATAATACTATTTTTTTGGTAATACAAGTTAAGAACGATGTCTGGTAGCAGATATCGAGACGACATCCAGCATAAGTTTACCCAAATGGGATTATTAACTTTTCCCAGTCTCCTCATTTATGATTCGATTTGTGCTACCAGGGATAGATTGTCAAATTATGATACGCATGGTACCTCTGGGACCAAATACTCGTAACAAAGACAGGATAAGGTTACCATTTTTACGATTGGAGTCCAGTCGAAACTGTTTTAATTATTACGGCCCAACTCTATTTAATTTGTTGCCTGCTGATATGACATGCCTTCCAACAAAGGCATTTAAGAAAAGACTGCGAGATTACCTGATAACTCATGCTTTTTATAGTGTAAATGCTTTTAAAATTAAATTAAAAGATGTTCAAATATAACATGTTGTAACTGTAACTGTACGTATTTATCTTTGGAATTAATAATGTTTCTATGTTTCTATGTTGTTATTTACATTTATTTGTTGTTTATTATATTAAAATGTTTTGACTTGTCCTATACATATGTAAATATGCCCTTTGGATCAATAAACTATCTATCTATCTATCTAAATATAAATAGATGCCAATCCATTCAAGGTAAAGCATGAAATTTCAAAAAGAGTTAAATTGTGTCATATGATTTTTTTATGATTTTCCAACTTTTTTAATCGTCCTATTATGTTTATCAATTTAATCACACAAAAACATTAAAATTAACTAGCATTTCTTTAATACTTTTTACGGTACATTGTTTTAAATACGAACAGATGGTTCAGCAGTTATAAACAAAGTTAAAAAACCGAAAGTAATAGTGGGTGTCTGTTAGATAGTATTCAATGTATATTTATACAGCACTTTCAATGTTTCGTTTCCTTTTTCCTTTGCCACCTTTATTTCTCCTAAAATTGTAATTAAAAAATTAAAATTACCAAATATGGATTGAACTAGACCAGTAAGAGAGTTCACCATTCACATCTGAAGCATTCTAGCAGAACCATTTTACTAAATTAATTTTTTAAATTAGAAGTCTAGAAAATTAGGAGTCAGTGCTGTTAATTTTGCTTTTATAACATGATAACACTGCAAATATAAAAAATACACAAAGGACTAGATACACCATGATGCAATTAATTAAACATAATTAAATTGTAGTAATTGTTGTTTTTTTATCGCACCTCCTAAATCCATATAACTGGTAGTTACGGCTGAGAAAAACTGATTTAATCTTATTCAATGTAGAAACTGTTTCACAATCCTTTTTTCATTGTTTCAGGATAATGAAGCGCCCGCCTGGGTTGTGGATACTCTTATCAGCAGGTACGTACAATTGAAAATGTCTTTAAATGTAATTATTTTTGTCAATACAAAATAAAAGTTTCTAAATAATTACACAATTTAATAAAAATCGTAAAATAAAAATCAAACAATATTAACCTTCACCTACATATCAAATAGATAAACCATATGTCTACTCAATCCTCGAGATACCGTGCTTAATTTCGCATAATGTTGTAACTTTCTATAAGCCATTGGTTTTTATTTACGCGTTTAATAGTTCGACTTAAAGACTATTAAGTAATTTTCTTAAAAGCTATAATCATTCGGCGAATACACCCATACAAATTCTATACATATTCAATTAACGACTATCTCTTCTGGAATCAGGCTGATATGGTGTAAGACTGCAATTTTCTGCAAAAAAATAAGTTTTTGTTTTTACATTTTGTGCATTATAAAGACATTTTAAATATAGGATTTTTTATATTTTAAATAGTAGCGCTATTTCGCTGTAAAAGATTATAGGCATCAATTTTTAATTTAAATTACAAACTACTTTTTGGACCCACTTAAAAACATTAACATCAAAGGTTTGGTGCAAACTGAAAATCAGTACTCGTACAGTTGAAGTTTACCTGTTAGTAACAACATTCGTTTATTCGTTCATGTAAAAATATGAAGCCATCCGCGATTTAAAAAATATAAAAGTTTTTTTTTTCACTGAAATAAAGAGCTAACATTTTGAAACTTCCTAACAGTAAAATTAAATAATTTGAGGATTGCTTCAAACGTGTATATGTTTTTTATTACTTTGTTTGATCTATTAATCTTCGTTCAAAATATAAAGTTATAATCAGTGTTGGCAAAAATTTAGTTTGATTAACGATTTAAATCTAAAACTAACGAAATTAGTTTAACTAACGATTGACGATTGAATTAGTTTAAGTCATGTAAAAGATTGAAATAATCGATTGAATTAGTTTTAGTTTTCAATCTTGATTAAAATTTTGATTGAAATAGTAATGTCGTGGAAAACGCAGAGTAAACGATTAATTAAATTATACAAATGGTTTATACATTAATACATAGTGTGCAAAAAAAGTCCTATACAGAGTGTTTCAGAATATGTGGGCAATCTCCTGGATTTAGATATAACACATAAACATGACAAGTTCCTATACATTTTTCCTACGGCCCCCCTACGGAGATACCGGCCCATAACGGACGCCCCTGGAAAGAAAATAAAAGGATCGAAAATTTCAAAACACTTTATTTTCAACTGACACTGACATCATTCAAATTTTTAAATCGGTAAATGTAAAAAACATTACAAAAAAATAAATGTAAAAAACCCTATTGTACAAAAACGTATGTACTTTACATTTTATCGTTGTCGATCAGGATTACCTTTTTTTACTTTAAGGTTTAAGCTGACTAAAAATATTATTGTTGTGCCTTTATAGTACAGGGTGTTAAAAAAAATAGTATTGCTCTGTTAGAGCTAGTCTGTCCCTGGCAAACTAAATAAGACAAATGTAATTAAAAGTGTCCATTTTAAGGAAACTTTACTAGTAAACAATATCCAGGGGTGTGCGTATGGGACCGTATCTCCGTAGAGGGCAGCGTAGGAAAAAAATATGAGATTATATTATTTTTATGTGTTCTATTTGAATCCGGAAGATTGCCCACATATTCTGGGACACTCTGTATGTTTATATAAATAATCTTTTATTTACTTATGCTATTTTTTTTATTTATTAACATATAATTAAACAGATAATTTTTTCTTGGTTAGGTAGGTCAATTTTCCGATTAATTATAATTATAATTATAATTTATATATAATTATATTTATTTATTTTTCATGACGACTCTTTTCTCAAAAATCTCATCGGATAGTTTGTGTGATTTTGTTGCATGGGAAAACATTCGTTCTATGACGGCATAGGCGTATTGTATTTTACAAAGACAGTTTTCATAATTTTTTATAACCTCGCTTACAAATACGGAATATACCTTTTTAATTAAAAATTTCAATCAAACTAAAACAAGTAACTAATGATTACTTGATTTTAGTTGCGACTAAAACTAAATTTTTAATCGTGATTGATTTAGTCATAACTAAAATAATCACTAATTTTTTAGTTTGATTCGTCAATCGATTGAAAATATTAGTGACTAATCCCAACTCTGGTTATAATATAATACTTTTATGTTTTTCTACTATGATATAATCTATGATTTTGTTGCACCCGCGATATAACTTTAAACTTAGCTCGTGACTACACAAAAAAAAATTATTTGTGAAATTCCTGCACGGATATATGGTAACTGTATTTAGGTATGTAACTTTAAAAAACATCCGGTTTTTTTTTTAGTTTTGCTTAACGGTTTTTTTTCAAATATTTTATCACATTTTATGTTTTATATAAAAATTATATTTTATTGGAAAGGTATTCATTTAAATAGTGATTTAAATTTAAAAAAGCAATCGATTTAAATCGCGAACTACTTAAATCTTAACCCAGAGTAAAAATACAGCAGAGGAAAAATAATCTGAAGTTATTTCAGATTATTTTTCTTCTAAATTTTTGCTCTGAAAATTTACTCCCAAAGTTTATAGTTGAGGTGAATTTTACAGAAAATGTAAATTTATTTGGAAAATTTACACCAAATCTGTAAATTATATTTAAAAAATTTAAGGTCAAGTAGAGATTTAAAAAATGGACAAGTTGCTTAAGCAGAACAAGTTATTAGATTAGATTTTTTTTAAATCCCAAATACCGTAATATAATATACAAATGAAAAATGTAAAGATGACTAATTGTCACAGCATAAAAGCAGCCACTAATAATTCTCTTCAACAGCAATTTGTATCCCGGACAGCCAATTCTTATGTAAAGTTGTCCTCTGAATCTGACTAAAATTATTAGTGGCTGCTTTTTCTCTATGACAATTAGTCATTTTTGACCAAATAATTTTTAGAGGGTACCTACCTGTTTAGCCAGAACCTTAAATAACAAAACCACTTTTTTATTTGAAGAAAAAGTTGAACTTCTCGTTCCTTGAACAGGATTTACTTTAATAAAGTATCTTTGGAGAAGTAGCAGTAGCAGATACTTTAGGGGGGTCCACAAACCTATTCAACCCTTGATTAAGGGAGGGCTTTGGGGGCTATAGCCCAGTCAGTTTAATAAGACATATTAATATATGTATGTACATGTATACATTCTATGCATAAAACAAAAAATAACTAAAATATTTTTTATCAAAAAACATAAAATAAAATTTCGACAGTAGTAGCGACATAGTGCGTGCTGAAAAAAACTGCCGAGGTATGTACGAACAATTTAATATTAAAAAAAGTCTAGTGGCCGAAAATACCTTAGTGGATCAGCTGTAAGATAAGAATTAGTTCTAACCACAGACCACCTGTGGTCTGTGGTTCTAACCAAATTACACATTATTTAAAATAAAATGAAAATATAAATAATTTTAAAAGTAAAACTCATCAAGAAGGGTACCACCAATAGATTTACTCCTATTTTTAAATTTTCTGGGTCAAATTTGAAGAGCAACCCGATTAGGATAACTTTTATCTTGCAGTCTTAGATGGAGACTTATAAAATGTTCAATTGTTAAATTTTAACTATTTATTTTTAACTTATTGTTATTCAAAAAAACCTATGTCAATAATATAACTTATCAATTTTATATTTTTTTAATACTACAAGTCCATACACAAAATGACACCATTCTTATACTAAAGGGCCCGTGTGCTACTGTGGCTATTAAAACTGCAATTGTACTTTAAGAATATGGTATTTTCACTGAACCACTGGAATTTCACATGTTTAAGAATTAACAATAAATTTTTCTTAAGTAAATTCACAATTTCGTCTTTTTGGCACTTAATAAAAAAACAGCATTTACAGCGTTCTACTGACATACTTACATAATTTTAAATTTAAAGCCTCTAGGATAACAGCTTCCTCTTTTGTTTATTTTTTACGTTCAAACGTAATTTTTGTTCTAAAATCAACGTAAATCCAGAGGTATTGTTTGCAAATATTGTTAACTTTAGCACTTTTAAAAACGCGCTTACACCGCGCTAAAAAAATGACTTTATTTGACACAATATTTTTTTTTACATCTAGTTTATAAAAGGTATGTATTTATATATATTCTTGAAAAAAAATTCAAATAATGTGTGAGGAACAAAGTTAAATGTTCATTTGTTTAATTAATAATGGCAACAATACAACATTTTAATTTTTGCAAAGAAAATTTATTTATTGACATGTAATTAAATTTTCACCCAAATCTAATTAATCGTTCGTTAGTAATTGTATTATTTAGAAGAAAAACATTTTTTTAATAAACCCTTTATAGGTATAAATAAGTACTGAATTTCCAATAAAATGTTTGTGGAAGATTATAAGGCAACCCAGTACTTAATGTAAAATACGTTTATACTATTTTTATTACCTTGGTGAAAACCCTTCAAGAATTTTGACTCCCCTATTACTTGGGAAAAATTGTATTCACAATAATTGTGAATAATAATAATAATAATAATAATAATTATTAAGGTTACATGATTTTGGTTAAAATACAGAAATACGTAATTTTACATTCGTTTTAAGGGGTTGATACTGTTTAATAGTAAAATTATAGCTGAATAATGTAATTTTTCGTAATTTTTTTCCTATGTATTTAGAAACCCTTTATAGGTATAAATAAGTACCGAATTTCCAATAAAATGTTTGTGGAAGATTATAAGGCAACCCAGTACTTAATGTAAAATACGTTTATACTATTTTTATTACCTTGGTGAAAACCCTTCAAGAATTTTGACTCCCCTATTACTTGGGAAAAATTGTATTCACAATAATTGTGAATAATAATAATAATAATAATAATAATTATTAAGGTTACATGATTTTGGTTAAAATACAGAAATACGTAATTTTACATTCGTTTTAAGGGGTTGATACTGTTTAATAGTAAAATTATAGCTGAATAATGTAATTTTTCGTAATTTTTTTCCTATGTATTTAGAAACCCTTTATAGGTATAAATAAGTACCGAATTTCCAATAAAATGTTTGTGGAAGATTATAAGGCAACCCAGTACTTAATGTAAAATACGTTTATACTATTTTTATTACCTTGGTGAAAACCCTTCAAGAATTTTGACTCCCCTATTACTTGGGAAAAATTGTATTCACAATAATTGTGAATAATAATAATAATAATAATAATAATTATTAAGGTTACATGATTTTGGTTAAAATACAGAAATACGTAATTTTACATTCGTTTTAAGGGGTTGATACTGTTTAATAGTAAAATTATAGCTGAATAATGTAATTTTTCGTAATTTTTTTCCTATGTATTTAGAAATTTCCTTTAAATTATTGTAAACAACATCAAAAGAGAACAGGTTAAATGTAGCCCTTCAAAGAATAATTTTATTAAAAACTAGGAAACTATTTCTAAATGTTGCATTGTTTCTTTATTATAGGCGTCCTCTGGTTAAGTCTACAAGACGTTTATGGTATAAGGGCGACAGCGCTAATTTTTGGAAAATCGTCGACCACCACGACCACGGAACTTCCTGCGACAGATCCTGCTGCAAAAGATGAGGTATGCCTTTTAAATAATAAAATTATATCGACAAATTTAACTTTTATTACTATTTATTAGTGGCAAGTACAGGACTTTCCATCTTTAATTTAGTATTGCTAAAACCATGTTCTTTCTGACCTTAGACTTTGAATTAAAAAACCATAAAAATTTATACGATTCCTTAATATGCAAATTAATGCGCTACACCTTAAAAATGTACTGATTTTTTATGCAACAGTATATCTTAACATTTAACTGACAACTTTTATTATATCATTATTAACAAGTTTCTTGTTATTTTGTAATGTTAATCTATTAGTGTTAAATTTCAATGTATTTAGATTTTTTCACTTTCCTTGCCAAGTATACACTTTTTTTGTGTTAAGTAGGTATAATTTTCTTGTTTAAAATAATTTTGTTTTATTTAACTTACTTATCTTAAACGGGTTTTCCATTATTAAAATTTTAATCTTTTCTAAAAATTAATGCATAATCGCCAAGAATTTTGTTGCGCTCTAAATAATCCACTTTCTATAACTAAGTTATATTTTTTCTAACCCTGTTACATACGTATCTGAAATATAATACACCTGACATAAACCTAATTGCAATAATGTTATTAGTATACTTTTATAAAAGACAGTTAAAGACACTTTATTATTACAATGATTTTGTAGTTTAACATATTAACAAATTAAATATACGCCTTATTCTTTTTTTGTAAATTAGGTAAGATTTATTTACAACAACTTACTTTATTATATAAAAATACCTCGAAGCAATATTTTGAGGTCGTTATCTGAAAGTTGTTTAAGTAGAAATATAAAGGATTTTAAATGATTGCACTCACGTAATTGTGGCTATTTGCGGATTCTCCAATAATGTGGAGCAATTGATTAAAAACACGCACTCTAGAGCGAAAGTATTTAAAATAAATGCCCACGTGATGAATTTGTCTAATTACCTTAATTAATGTGAACAAAATGCCATATAAACAATAAATTCAAGAATTTTTAAAACTTTTACTTTTCACACTGCAGTAACTTAGGCTACCTTGCCAACTGTAATTGTTAATGTTATTGTGGTTATATAAAACAAAATCAAAAAAGGATTTTTAAGTTAATTTTGAGTTAGAGCGTTAACAGCAAGATTTAGAAATTTATTGTTTTATATTTATTATTTTAAACAAGTATTTTTTTATTGGTTTAAAAAATATATTTTAAGACGGTTTTTAACATTTAAGACTATGAATGAATGAAAAAAACAATGAACAAAATTTAGAGTTTTTACCAAACTCAAGCGTCAGAGATTTATTTTTAAATAAAATAATTTATTTAATAAAATTAGTTTAATTATAATTTAATTTTGCAATAGATCCAAAAAATGTATAATAAATTAAAATTTGATATTTTTTGTTTATTTTATCACTAATTTACATAAAAATACGTATTTTTTAAATTAAGGAGGTTCGGGCACAATATTAGTTGCTATAAGAAAATGTTGAAAAAAATCTAGGTAGAATCATGTTACATGGGCTGTTATCGTTTATTATTGATAAATTGTGTTGTAAATGTTAACAAAAAATTGTATGCCACTGCTACAGGTATAAGTGAATTCAAGAATTTTTTATTGTCATGTTATAAGATATGCGTTAGTTAAATACATCTCCTATAAAGCCCATCTCTTTTATTAATGCATATCTCATTGAAAAATTAATGATTTTTTTTCTCGTATGCACTTATCCCTGTAGAACTGCCATATTGATATGCCGCACTGTTTTGCAATAATAAACGATAATGTTGACTGTATCCAACCAAAATTATCAATCTGTCATTCTCGTCTAGAAGATCCGGCAACACTGGATTACGAACATGTGATTATCTAGGGATGTTTGGTTTGATTTATTTGGTACCAAATGTTTGTTTTAAAAGTTAATTATTAATAAAAAACACAATTATTGTATAAAATTATTTATTATAAGTTATTTTTTTAAATAATTGAACAATCCTTCAACCTTTTATGGTTTCCTTCTCTTTGTTTTATGCTCTTCTCATAATAATAATAATAATATTCTTTATTTGTTTAAAAATGCCAGAAGGTGTAAAACACGTCAAATATAGATAAGTACATAATATAATTTAAAAATTAGTAATAAAATTTAAAAGAGAAAGACAAATGATAAATAAATAATAAATAAAAGAGAAAGACAAATGATAAATAAATAAATAAATGTGTTTCTTACACTTCTAAACATATGCTATGCATATAGCATTACAAAAAATATTCATGAAGATTATCATTAAAATATTCCTTCAATGAGTAATAAGATTTATCTATTAAAATTGTTTTAATTTGATTTTAACATTTTTAATAGAGAGTTTTCTAAATTGTTCTGGTAGCTTGTTGAAAACCTTAACTACGAGTATAGTATTTGGAACATTATTCTGAAGATAAGTAAATAGGTTAAACTGACGTGATGACATTTTAGGTTTATTTCTGAACGGAGTTTAATAATAAATTTACTTTTGAACTAGTATTAATAAGAAGTTATGAGTCTTAAAAAAAAGGATTTTTTAGACAAAAAGACAAACATTTTCTAAATTTTTCCTATTTAGCAATTTAGGAATCAGAGCGAGAAGATTCAGGCATTAAGAACCAAGTATCAAAAATCGTATAAAGAGGTAAACAAGAGGTTTCAACTTATAAAACGATATTTTTTTAATAATTAAAAAACACTAATTTTATCTTTTTTCAGTCACTTAGTAGCAGCACGGAGGCCAATGGGGATGTAATGAACGTGACAAAGCCGCCGTTGACGGGAAACCCCCAAATCGACTACATTTGGGATCCCAATTTGCCCAAAGAACTGAACGGACATAATCTGTCCGATTATCCTTTCTATGAAAGGGTCCCAGACGAGGTGATAGCATTCAAGTGCGATGGCCTACACGACGGCTTTTACGCCAGTATTCCACACAAATGCCAAGTAAGAACAAAATGTGTAAACTCTATGAAAATACTTAGGCTCTACTAATTTGTTTGTCTAATGTCAGCATATCATAGAAATGTATCTAAAGATAGGTACCTAGTATAATCAAAATTTTATTGCAAAAATCTGATTTTATGAAATACAGGGTGTAATTGTTAATTCTAGCAAAGTAATCAGTAGGTCATTTGAAATGTTTGTTTGCATTTTGGCCAATTCTGAATTTTTAATTTAATCAAATGTTACCGATATTTAAATAAAATTTAAATCCAACAACATTGCATCGAGCGCTGGAATAAATGACAGAAAATCGTAGGTTAAGTACAAAGATATTATCTTTCACAGTGATTAGAGGCACGCTAACGTACCGCGATTGAAAATGTTAAAGGCACGTTAGTTACGTCATAATTATAATCCGTTTTTGTTCCCCGAGCGTTTAATATTTGACAACAAGCTAGATAGCTCATATGGCACGGTTAATTTTATAGACGATTTCAGAAAATAAATATATAATCATCGAAAATTGTGTTTTTGGATTTTTCCGACTCCCACGTAACAGAAAACATGAAAATTAAAATCCTTCATGTAGGGCATTTTAGATAGTGGCCCAAAAATATGTCAAAATTTTGTAATTTTTTCTAAAAATATTATATTAAAAAAAAACTTTTTTTAAGGATAATCTCAAGGATAATAGAGCGTTTAATTTTATGTTAAAAGCGTCTCAAAAAGTTTTTTGTAGATCCTATAGTTTTGTTCTAAAAAAATCTTACTTCACGAAATACACTTATAAATAATTATAATCGATCCACACAAATTTTCGATGAATTTCAATCGCAAATAACTTTTGTATTTGATTTCGGATTTAAACGAATATTAAAGAATATTGTAGATAAATTAATGGAGAATCGCTTACATTTTAAAAATTTACTAAAAATAGACGAACGTTTATAATATACAGGTTTAAACATACCATAAGTTTAAGACACTCTGTAGAGTGGAAAAACCGTATATTGTTCTAAATTAAGTTTTATTTATCAAGTCACATCTATACTTAACAGTTTTGTTTTTGGCTCACTCCGATATATTTATTTTTGTGGAAAATGTAGATTTTTTAAAAAAACATTGCATTTTCCAAAATTTTTTTGTACGAAGAACTAAGTATGACAGTGATTGTTTTCATCCCATACTTGGACATTTTTTTGTAAATTAATGTGTTACTTTTGAGAAGTTTTCTTACTTTTAAAAATGGATATGTCTCCGACTGATGTTTCCAGAGCCATTGCTTTAATCCAGGATGGACGGTCTCAGTATTACCTGGATTGTACTTGGTTTTGGGACAGTTCAATGTCCCTCAAAAACCAATATATTTTCCCTCCTTTTCCGCACTCCACTACCCGACTAGGCGAAAAAATTCTGGAAGAGGCCGTAACCATCGAAACTGTCATTTACGGCCTTCCAGGCGAGATTTACCAGCCGGGGTAAAAATTCGGATCCACCAAACACAGGCAATGCTGTGCAGTGGCGGGATACGTGGGAGAACTGAAAGGGGGTAAAATAACCCTGGGAAATCAGTGTAAGGCGTTGGCAATGGGGCCAGTCATAGGTTCGTCATATTCGTATTCAACAATAAAGGAATGAAAAACTTATGACACTGTTGTCGCCCATGTGCGATATATATATTCGTCTTTAATGTATTAAAGTTTATACATTTGGTTTTAGATACCTCAATTTGTTTAAGTATTTTGACGAAGTAGTTTCCAGTTGCTTTGGGCAAACGGAGTACGGTACACAATAAAAATGCATGCCCTAGCTAGTTCATCATGTTCCAGAGTTCATTGAAAAATATCAACGAGCACTTGCCTTTTTTCTGAACAAGCGTCAGAACAAGTGCATCACTATTTTAACGTTTTCAAAAAATTTTAATTTAAATTCAAGGAATTTGCAATCCTTTAAAGAAAAACTGTTAAGAAGTATTTGTTATTATAATAGCCAGAACATATAATTACATGTATTTATTTAGACATTAAAACCTATTAAGTTAATTGAATTTGATTAATATGTATTATTTTGTGAAGTAAAAAAAATCAGAATTTTTTTATAACAAAACTATAGCGTCTACAGAAGACTTTATAAGACGTTTTTTACTTAAAATTAAACGCTTTATTATCCTTAAGTTTTTTTTTAATTTAAAATTTTTAGTTTTTACAAAAAATTTAAAAATTTTGACATATTTTTGGGCCACTATATAGAATGCCATACATGAAGGATTTTATTTCTCATGTTTCCTGTTACTTGGAAGTCGGATAAACCCGAAAACAATAGTTTCGATGATTATATATTTTTTTTCTGAAATCGTCTATAAAATTAACCGTGATGGTAGGGCGGTCGCTTGGTATGTGAGAGGTCCCGGGTTCGATACTAAGAAATTGTCGAACATTTTTATTTTTTTATTTCATAAATTTGTTGTTTCTTTGTTAAACAGTGTTTGGTTGGGTTGGGTTGGTTGGTTTGTTTTAGTTTTATCGTAACATAAAATCTACTAGAAGTGGTCGAACTATTTTTATTTCATAAATTTGTTGTTCCTTTGTTAAAAAGTGTTTTATTTTTATCGTAACATAAATTTGCCCATTTTAGTTGGGTTTTTTGCTCAATGGGGCGGGGGGGCCAATGAGGCGGGGTCGGTTGGGTTGTGTTGTTGAGTTTGGGATGGTTTGGGTTTATGACGTAATTAACGTGCCTTTAACATTTCGAATCGCGGCACGTTAGCGTGCCTCTAGTCACAGCGATTATCTTTGGTTAAGTATATGCACTTTCAGTAGAATTGAGGTTAAGTGTCTGCCAGTGACAGCACTATATATAGTATTGAGATGATGCATGATGCATTTGTATCATAGTATTGGGATTAGTTTTATTATGCACTAAGCTATCTAATCATCATGACTTTATGCTGCGTTGTCAGATAGCATTCAAATTAATATTTTAACTTTTTTGTTGAAAATTTAAGAAAAGTTAAAAACAAATTATTTCAAATGACTCACCAATTGATTTCCTAGATTTATCAAAGTGTTTCCCAGAACACCCTGTATAATATGCCAAAATAGTATTTTATGAAATGTACGTGCACGTATAGTTCTACCATCAGTACCATCAGGTTTTATATATACCTAACTATTTAGACAGTTTTAAGAGATTCTTAAAACCTAGGTCCTAAAACATTTGTAAAAAATGCTGTAAAAATAAAAGACTTTGTTTTAATTTTTTGTCTATAAACTTGCTTTTTAGAAAAAAATACAAAGAACTCCAATTCTATAAAATATTTCAGAAAAAAAATATTAATTTTTATTTCTATATATGTTTTTTTAACTTTAATTTAATTAAAAGGGATGTTGGTCCATTTGGGGAATTAATCGTAAAATACAGGATGTCACCAAATAAGTTGTCATCCTTTAAGGGAATGAAAGAACACCCCAAAATAAGAAAGTTTTTGCTATATCATTTTTGCACTAGTGCCATTTTTTTAATAAAAAAATCATTAAATTTTTTATAAGTAGAAAGTGGAAATTTAGGGCCGACACTGGTTGTTCCTGACCTATGAAAAACTGACGCAAAATAATCAACATTCATTAAAAATTTCCATATGTGTTATCATTGATTACTTTGTTGATAATTGTTTTTTGTTTTGCATACTCAGCTATTTTTAGGTACTTTGAATAAAACAATACTTACTTTTTATTGTGAGGTATCTCGAGGTTAATGTGGTTTTCCCGTCAATTTTAAATTTTACCTCGCTTGATGCTCATGTAGCTATTTTTTAAGTGTTCCACAAAATCATAAATGTTCAACTAGCCCGACGTTATTATCCACACAAAGTTGACAGCGGCAAATAAAATTATGATGTGTCGCTCTTGCTATCATATCCGGGTGATTTCGGATTTAATCTGCCGCTGCAGGGACAAGTTCGCGGAGTTCTTCTAATGTGTCAATTTCGCTCTGGTACACTAAACTGTTTATGTAGCCCCAAAGAAACCACAATAACAACCGAACTGTCAGTAATCAATGATAACAAAGTACCTACTAACCGATTTTGAATAAGTTTAAAAGTTTGCTTGATATTACAATGTCATAATACACCAATGGTTATTTGACAAAACATCGTAAACAAAAAAACCTAAATTTTTAGATTTTTTTTGTGTGGGAGCTTTATTTATCTGAAAACTGGTGAGGCATTATTTTATTAATGTAGAATTCAAATATTTAAGTAAGATCGAATCCAATCTAAAATTTTCATTAAATTTTCTGGCATACGATATTTTATAAGAACATATTTAGAAAAATGTAAAATTAGTCTAGTCGCTTAAGTTACATTACGTTACTTTGTGGCATATAGATTTGATGATTACTTTTGTCAAAACATCGTTAGCGACATTTATTTTTTTACTTTTATTATTAAATAAAAAAAATACAAAAAAATTAATTTATAAAATATTACCAACGATATTTTGCCAAACAATGTTTGAAAATGAAATTCTACATTAGCTTTCTTTGAAAAAAACGAACCAGTATCTAACCCATGGAGCCTACACAAGGAGCCCGAACTTAATAGGGGAAATTGACAAAACCAGCCCTCTAAATTGTACAAATTAAGTTTCTTTTTTTCACCACCAGCAGCGGCGCTGATTGTCGATGCTAGCGTTTCGGTACAAATTAAACTATTGTTTCAGAATAAACGGAACACCAGCGCACTCTTATCTTAGGAAGATTCTTGTTTACATGTAAACAAGAACATCATGCATGATGTTCGGACTCCTTGTGTAGGCTCCATGATCTAACCCATGGTACCATGATCTAACCGTTATAAATTTGAGTCAAATTATTTGACGCTATAACAACATACAATTACTACAAAAAACACTTTTAACGAACCACACTACGCAAAAACAATTATAATTAGGATAGTTATTAATAGTGCAATGAAAAAAAGGAATTATAATGTTTTGATC